AATTAGCCTAGTTCACATAGCTGGAAAGGTTCTAATTAAGTGATGTTTAGACTCAACAGGTCTGACAGTAATCAAGCTTAGGTGTGTCTAGCTTAGTTAATGGGGCAATTACTTTTTCACTCAGGGCCTGTTGATGTTGCTTCAATAAATGAAATGATTGCTTGAAAAGTGTATTTTGTTGTTACGTACGTTGTGCTATATTATATTTTGTACATCTTAAAGAATTAAGTGTGGCAAATATGCAGAATAAAAAGAATATTTTCTGACTGTCTGTGTTCAGTCCAGGCTAGAAACCCTGTGGATTGTGCATTTTGAAGCTCAAATTAATTCCAAATACTGTCCAGAGAAAAAAAACACACTCCCACTCACACCTAAGACACTTTGTTAGAGTACAGCAGTGTTCCACAGAGGCTTGTGTCTACCTACTGGACATTTGATTGACAGGGTGGGTTTTGTTCAGTCTTGTACTTTCTTCAAGGTTTCTCTCTCTCTCTCTCTCTAACTCGTTCACTTTCAGCTCTCCAAGCCACTCATCCATTAAGTCCTGCCTTCTCTCTCTGTTTTAATCCCACTCCATTTTTTTGAAGCAGAAATGTTTTCCAGAGGCTTGCACTGTGCCCCATATGGTCGCGAGAACATAATCTCTCCGTGGCCTCGTTCTATCTGGCTTTAGGCCCCTCCCTCCATCCCTCCATCCCTCCATCCCATCGTTCACTCCAGCACTTCACATCTGTCTGCAAATCGGAGTGGGACAGAGAGTGAAAAAAAAATATATCGATGCAGTTTGTCCTGAGGCTAAGCCACTATGTACCCACCATATCAGCTAGCAATCAATCAAAACTCCACAGCTAACAGACGTTATGGGGAAAAAAGTAGCCTTTTGCTGCTACATGGCTGTTTTATTCTAGAATAGCTTGAAATAAAGCTCCAGAGCGTAGATGTGGATTACTGTGTGTGCTTTCATTGATTGCAATTCAAACTACTGGTGTAACAAGTCAGAATAAGACAGAAATTGTAGTGGTCTGTTCGCAGCTGTCATTTAAAGCAATAGTTACACAAAAATATACAGTTTTCTCCCAAATGTGAGATATATTTGAAGTCTGAAGTTTGCTTGAGTTCAATTTATGTCCCATTACCTTTTTAAAAGCAATAAAATGACTGTTATTGTTTTGTTTTTTATTTCAGTTAAAAGCTAATGGATCTGTACTTTAACCTATAATAAAATGATTAAAATTGATTAAAATTTGAATGATCACAAAAACACATAAAATATCTGTATACAACTTTAATATGATGATTTTGGCCTGACCAACCTCACTGACATTGAACACCTTTATATGAAATATATTCATATAACATCTTCCCATAAGATCATAACTTTAATGTTATTTGATTAATTTCCAGGCAATTTAATGTTAAAAGAATTTCCCAATTATTTTATTTAATATAGCAAAGTGCCAGCTGTCAATTAAAGGAAGCTTATTATAAACGAATTAGTATGGTGCTAACTGCATGCCTAAATCATTACACACTCGCCTCAACCATGTTGAGCTGTTAAGTAATCTCAAACAGAATATGTGCTTTCTCACACTGCATGACACACTCTCAACATGAATACATTACACAGCTAAACACAGCAGTAGCTACATCTTGAAGCCTGTATTTTGTCTGTACTTCTTTCCATGTTGTAAAAGAGTCTGTAATACAGCGTCAGAAACCACATACGCAAGTCTATTTGAGATTACTTAACAACATGACATGGTTTGAGGCGAGTGTGAGATGATTTATGCATGCAGTCTGCACTTTTCCTGAATTGAGTTCATTCTGGGCCTGGAAATTCTTTAAAAATTAACTTGTTTCTTTGCCGTTTTTGTATTAATCAAAAGAAAGTGCCTGACCTTTAGAATATGTTATTTTCCCACCTCAGGCTGTTAAATCAGATACTATAGGAGCTGTTTTTTTCTGAAATGTACAGTATTTTTACCAGTTTTTAGGGAGATGTAATTATGTAACAGCATTCAAAAAGCATGTTTCATTTGAGTTTATTATATTCTAGTAAGAAATACACATATTTATGAAATGCTTTTTGAACTTCATATAAAGAATAAAAATACATTTTTTCTTGTGTTTTCTATATTTCTTATCTATGTTACTTCAAAGCCTTTAGAGTTTTTTAGAAAGTCTAGTTCTGTAGTTTTGTGCTAGAGCGATGAGGCTAATGTAGTTAACAAGTAATGGAAACTTATGTACATTAATTAGCATTTGTCCATTTTTATAGACAGCATTAGGCCATATCAGAAACCACATGAATAAGTCTTTTTGAGATTAATAATCACAAACAGATTCTTGTTCTGCTAGAAAAAACAGCACTTGTGTTTTGGATGGTGATATGCTGGTCTGCAGCAATGGAAGCTGTTATGCTGGTCACCTGCAAAACCAGCTTTTGTTGTGTTTTGGATGCTATTATGCTGGTCAATAAGCATGACCATGCTGGGTAACCAGTTAAACCAGCACCAGATCAGCATAAACAAGCATAAACAAACATCAACATGGAATTCAATAGTATTTACTGCAGTACCACCATACACAGCTATATAAACATCTGATAAACAAATGTGGACATCATAAGGGGTGATGTAAAGTTAATATCAGTGGATATACTGTCATTACAACTTTGGTTAAGGACTGGTTTCACAAGCTCCTAAAAAACATCGGACTCCATGTTAACCATAAAAATAATAATAGTAATAATTTAAAATAATACCAATATAATTTTATAGCACTTTTCTCATAGCCAAGGTTGTTTTACAGTGGCAGTAGGAAAAAAAAACTTTCAGTGAGCAGAAGAAAGAAAGTACAGAGAAAAGAGGTAGGTTTTAAGCTGAGCTTTGAAAGAGGAAAGTGAGGGACAGTCACAGAGAGATTGCGGTAATGTGTTCCATAGTTTGAGGGCCATGACGTTAGAAGATCTGCTCCCAGCGGTGACAAATCTAAATTTTGGGGCTGGAGCCTATCCCAGCAGTCATTGGGCAGAGGCAGGAAACACCCAGGGCAGGTCACCAGTCACATACATACGCAGGGCAGACAGACACATACATTCAAACACACACAGGCAATTTAGCATGTCCAACTGGCCTGACTGCATGTCTTTGGACTGTGGGAGGAAACCCACACAGGGAGAACATGCAAACTCCACACAGGAAGGACCCTGGTCGCCTAGCCAGGAACCGAACCCAGGTCCTTCTTGCTGCGCGGTGACAGCGCTACCCACTGCGCCACCATGCCACCTCAGCTAAACACAGCAAAGCTTTTTTGGGGAAACATGATTGGCCATACAGAGAAACTTACTGTGGTGCTAGCAATTTAGCAATGGCTAACAGTTATACCAACGCATTTCTGTTTTGGAGGAGTGAAAGTCACTTTTGTGTCTTTAAGACACGGATGTGTTTACACTTGACTCGGTTGTCTCAGCGTCTCCATTGTTTCATGTAAATAAAACTGAACTGAGCTGAAAATCTATAAAACAATTATATTTTTTGTTTCTCTCTCCCTCCCTCTGCCTTTCTCTTGTGTTTTCTTCCTCTCTCCCTTGCTTTCTCTCCTTATCTCTATTTCTGTTTAATATCTCCTCTCTTTCTCCCACTCTCTCTCTTTCTCTCTCTCTGTCTAATCCCTTCCTCCTTCTCTTTCTCTCATTCTCAACCTCTCTGTATTTCTCCCTGTTTCTCCCTCATTATCTATCCTTCCTTTTTTCTCCCTCTCCATCTTTCTCTATCTCACTCTCTCTCATTCTCTTTCCTCTCATTTCTCCCTCTTTATTCTCCCTCCCTCATTCTCTCTCTGTCTTATCTCTCCCTCCCTCTTTCTCTCATTCTTACCCTCTTTTTATTTCTCCTTCTCCCTCTGTCACTGCCTCCCTCTATTTCTCTCATTCTCTTTTTCGTCCACTCTTTATTTCTCTTTCTCTCTCTCATTTACTCAATCCCCTCCCTCGTTTTCTCTCCTCCTCTCTATTTTTTCTCCCTTTTTCTCTGACCCCTCACTCTCTCTCTCTCCCTTCCTCATCCCTTCCACTCACTTTCTCTGTCTCTCTTCCTCATCCCTTCCACTCTCTTTTACTCTCTCTCCCTCCTTTGCTCGCTCGCTCTCGCTCTCTCTCGCTCTCTCTCTGTCTCTCTCTCTCTCTCTCTCTCTCTCTCTCTCTCTCTCTATCTTGCTCGCAATTCAGTTCAAGGATGCATTATTGAATAGTATATCAACACTACTATTTCCTACTGGTAAAGAGTTTAAGACCAGCATGGAGCATTTATCAAAATAAAAATATATAAATAAATACATTTTAAAAAATGATAAAATGTGTGCGCCCCCTCTCTCTTTATTATGCACTCTACCTCCCTTTAACTCTCCTCTCTCTCTCACTCCCTCGTTTTCCCTTTCTCTCCATCTCAATCTCTCTCTCTCTCCCACTCCCTCTCTGTCACTACCTCTCTCCCTCCCTCTCTTTCTTCCCTCCTCTCTCTCCTCATCCCTCCCATTCTCTCTCTCTCTCTGTCTCTCTCTCTCTCTCTCTCTCTCTCTCGTAATTCAGTTCAAGGTTGCATTCTTGAATAATATATCAGCACTACTATTTCCTAAGACCAGCATGGAGCATTTATTAAAATAAAACTGTATTAGCAATAACAGGCAGGTGGAGGAAAACAATACATAAATAAATAAATAAATAAATAAATAAATAAATAGATAGATAAATAAAATGTGTGCGCCCCTCTTTATTTCTTTATTATGCACTCTACCTCCCTTTCATTCTCCTCTTTCTCTCTCTCTCAAGTACTCTCTCTCACTCCCTCGCTTTCTCTTCCTCTCCATCTCTCCCTCTCCCACTCCCTCTCGTTGTCACTACCTCTCTCCCTCTCTGTCTCATCCCCCTCCCTCTCCTTCTCCCCTCCTCTCTCTCCTCATCCCTCCCACTCCCACTCTCTCTCTCTCTCTCTCTCTCTCCTCACTTACAGCAGCAGAAGCAGACATGGCGACGGTGGTCCAGCCGCTGACTCTGGAGCGAGGTGAGTGCGCGATGGATTCGGTGGATTCGGGGACTGTAGTTTGATTTGTAGTCGTTTTGTTTCCTCCGCGAAGCTTCATCGCGTTCATTTTGCTGAGAGAAAGCGCCCAGCAGGGTGTCTGATTTCCGCTCCTCCTCGCTCGGATCCGCTCGATGCTGGAAGTGAGCGGAGCCGCGCGGCTCCATGTGAGGCGATGCTGAAGCGATAGCTGCCACTCTGCGCTCCGGAGTCGCGCTGGGATTATTTCCGCCCTCATTTGCTCCAGATTTCTTCCTCAGGTTTGCACGTTGTGCGCTCCGCTGTTGACGAGCACGTCTTGCTCTTTTACTTTCCTCCAAATCAACTTTCGACCCAAAATGAGAACACTGGGTTGTTTCTGCCTCATAAATGCTTCCAAAGCCGCTTACAAACCTTCTAACTCAGTTTATTGACGAAGTGGCTGCATGTTTATGGACGTGCAGCTGCGCGTGCATGTGGCAGTGCATTTCAGATGCACCGCTGGATTTCCAGCGGAAGCAGATGTGGCACAGCAGGATTGGAGTAATGATGGGTTTACTCTGCTATGCTGTTTTGCATGCATTTTTGTTAAGCATGTTGTGTTTTCGACGGACTCTGCGCGTTCAGCAGGGCCAGATTAAGACCCTGTGCTGCCCCTGGGCATTAGAGCTGCAGAGCCCACTGATGATATACTGAGACCTTTGCTGAGAAGGTATTGGCTTTGCTGAAGATTCATTCTGTTCACTCTTAAGGAAATATCTAAGTTAATTCCTCAGCTGAGATCAGTCAGGTCTACCAGATTTACAGTGGTCATGCTTTTTGGACGTTTATGGCTGGATTATCAGGCTGACTGACTGGTGTGAATAGATTTTGCCTAAACTGAATCTTTCAAGAACTGTTAACAGATTAAAGTCGTTTTAAATTTTTTAAACAACCTTTTGGTGCTCCTGGACAGTCACCCGGGTGACCCGTGTGGTAGATCCAGCAATGGAATTCAGCCTGCACTGAGCCTGAACAGCCCCCAACTGGCAGCTCAGCCCATTTTTAAATGACTGTTGTCTTGAGCGTTATATAGGACTGGTAGCTTAAACAGGTTGAAACAAGCACACAGCAGGGCATGGAGGAGATATTAATAGAGAAATGGGATAGCCCTGGTATGGCATGGGGGCTATCGTGTTTAAAACGTTGCCCGAGCTGTGCAGAATGGAGCAGTGTGTGAATAAATGATGGACAGCCTTAATGCTCTAGTAGCACAAGCTGGAAACAAGTGGCTCAGTAGGTTAAGATACTACAGATCACAAGATCTGATCTTCACATGAAAATAATGGTTGAAGGGCACGTGTCCTACATTTTATTTTTTTACCTGAGGTTTTTGTATGGAAGCCTTTTTATGCCGCTCGAATAAAAAAGGCCATGTAGTATGTCAAAATAATAAGAAGCTTTCTCATAAATATGACTTAAGATCTCAAAATAATGACAGGGTCTCATAATAATCAGAAAAGTGTCATATTTATGAGATAGCAGGTCTTAAGTATGATTTATTAGGTCATAATTGTGATATACCAAGTGAAAATTTTGAGAATCTTTCTCAAAAGGTTTTTATTATTATAAGATAGCAAGTAGTATTTATGAGATACTAAGTTATAATTATGAGATGGTAAGCCATAATTATAAGATAGATATCATTATTATGAGATAGCAATTCTAATTACGAGATAATGTCATAATTGTTACATAGTATCTCATAATTATGATTAGGTCATAATAAAGAGATACTAAGTAATAATTATAAAACTAAATCATAATTATGAGATACTCAATCATAATTATGGGAATCTTTCTCTTTGTTTTGGTTATATAATATATATATTTTTTTCTCAGTGGCGGTAACAGGCTTATGTACTTATACCATTTGTGTGATTTTATGTGCCGTAATTCATTTTTACAGGACCATTTACCGAACTTTGGATTAAACAGGCTGTTTTTGTTACTGTGACTTTAAGACTGATATATCTAAATGACCTCTGTTCTGTATTTTGGCTCATTCAAAAAGCTGAAACACTCCCTATAACTTCAGTGTAAAGGGGCTGTAGACTGTATTGGTGGATATATGTAAATGTTTTGTGACGCCACAAAAGCAACTTATTCAAAACTTATTCTGTTTTTGCATTTTAGTTTCCATATGTAGACTGTATGGACTGGGAAGTGAATGGTACATTGTGAAACTTTTAACAGTGTTTACAAGTACATCGAACTCTTATTTTTGACAGTCCATGATATGAGCCCTTTAAGAAAAAGTTGAATGAGAAATGCACATTTGACTGCTGTTGTAGATTCTGAATGTGCAATTTGACATGCATTGTCGTCGTTATGCATAAAATGGGGCTTGTTTCGGACATTAGCATCAGCAATGGTAAGAGGAACAGAATGTAAATCAAATCAAAGGGTCTTTATTGTTATTCCTCAATATAACTAGTAGATATTGGAATGAAATGTCATTCTTCAGGCCCCAAAGTGCAACACACAACAGTAGTACATTACACAGGATTACATAAGAGGGTTTTCCATCCTCCCAGTTTTTTGAGTTTTATGCTAGGACGAGGTTGAAAAGTTTGAATATTGCTAAAGCCGAAATGCGAAAAAGATGGAAAAGGGTTTTTCAAATAAATGAAGACGCATCAAGCTGTAAGTGAGAAATGATTAGCCCTACAGATGGTCCAGTTGTGGCGTATAGCTTTTCAAAGGTTGTTTTCGGCATTCTAAAATGCCTAATCCAAGCTTGTGCAAAAATTGCTCTGCATGATGTGCTCCCAGAATTGTCTGGGGCGTTTGTGTTCCCACTGTAAGGTGGACGTCATCAGGGTGGCATGGAACTTTCAGCCCTCATTAGGTGGGCCATTTCTCGTCCTACCCGGCGTCTCTAAGATGCAAATAACACATTCGTAGATAATAGTAAATGGCTGTGAGGATAATTCTACTTAACGCAGCGTTTTTTTTTCTACAGAAATTTTGTAAATGCGCAGATCATTAGCGAAACGTTTGAATGGAAACCCAGCCATTGAGAGCAGATACACAACAGTGTGAAATGAGTGCAGAATATACAATAAATGCACCAGATTAAATATACAGAACATAAATACACATGACGGTATATACTAGACAGGACAACAAAACAATATATGAGTGGGGCAATATATACCAAGTTAAGAGTGTTCGTAGAAAAAATGGGAAAAAAACATGAGCTTTTCGAGTTGGATTCAGATTGAGAGGCAGAACCATGTTTAAGTCTGAAATTTTCTCCATTGTTTTGGATTTTTTCAGTAAGGTATGTTGATTTTTTGTTTGATTTGTTTTTCCTTCTGTTTTTCCTTACTCCTTATTTGCAGTGCTGTCCTATTCTTTATATGCTGTGTTGTTTTCTGTGTTTTTTATTTGTAGTGCTGATTAGTCTTTATTCTTTCAAGTATTGTTTGTGTTGAAGAAGATTCTTTACAGGTATAAGATTCCAGAGCTGAATAAGGCAGATTTGTTTCCAGTACTGTCAGAATATAAAGCATAGTTTACTTTGTGATAGTAGAACTTGTAAAGTGGAATTCCTTGAGATGTAAACAAAGTTAGCCAGAGTATTTTAATGTGAAATGGGTCACTGTAGAGAAACCTACGGACTCAGATCACTTTAAAGTGGTGGTGACAGGAAACAGGGGATGCAGTGTATATAATGTAGTCTAAAATATGGCCATTTCATTTAATAGACTGTGAAAAAGACGTGTTTTGTTTAAAAAAGTAAGGAACCAGTCTGCCTTCAATGTTTTTGAGTTATTTGGCTTTTCTACATGTAACAGCAACATATACCTTTGGACAGGAAGTTAACTGAACAGTCTGTATATTACACTCTGTAGGTTAACTTGAAATCTGCAATTGAATCAACTCAAAATTTTAAAGAAACATGTTTTTTTTAAGTTAAAACAGTTTTTAAGGGTGTATCTAAACCAGTCAGTAAAAGTCTTTAAAAATGACATAGATTAAACAGAAAACATACAGAAATCTCAAAAAATAAATTTATTCATTTTTGCAGTATTTAGTGTGTCCAGCATTTGCCTTTATTACAGCTTTCATTCTTGCTTTCAGTTTTTCAAAGAAATCTGCAGGGATATTTTTTCACACCTCCAAAGTTCAGTCTTGAAAGTTGGTTGCATTTTGTGCTTCTCACGATCCAAGCAATCCCAAACACATGCAGTGATGTTGAGGTCTGAACTCTGGGGTGGTCAGTCCATTGTTCTGAGAACACCAGCAGCTTCTTTATTTGATGTGCAAATTTTCTATTTTGTATTTTCTGTTTTTCTTTTGTTTCCTTTCCTCAGTAAGGTCTTCTTGACAGCTGCAGCATAGAGTTGTCTTCTCACAGTGGAAGGAAGGACAGAAACACCTGTGGGTTTTCTCAAAGCTGAAGCAAGAGTGGCGCTTGATCTTCTCCTCTCTCTTAAAGATGAAAGCTTTAGTGCTGTTTATCTGATGTGGACACTTTTAGTCTTTTCAGTCTACCAGGTCTTGCAGGGATGTTAGGGGTCATATTTTCCATGTGCCTTTTTTAGCATTTTTGAACTCTACTTTTGGAAACTCTACCTGATGCGAGTGGATTATATCTAATCTCCTTAGAAATATCTCAAGCAAAATGAATAACTTTTACTAAATGGCCATTTTAAATGGTAATTAAACAAATGAAAGGTGGTCTCTATCTTTGCACTATGCTGTACCCCTATGCCATGAATAGATTATAAAAAAAACAATAAAAACATTTTAGACCAGAACATTTGTAAAACTATTCATAACCAATTTATGTAATAACTTTCTGTGAGGGAGCTTTTAGCATTAAACTCTTCAGATGTCTGTTTCCTATCACCACCACTGTGAAATCAGTGAAATTTCCCTTTAAGGGCAGCAGTAAGCTATGGAATTTTCTGCTGGAGTTACAGTGGCACTCTTCATGAAACAAGTAGGCTAAT